GTGCATGCGATGTGTACCAGTGTGTCGTTTGTATGCACCTGTCATGATCCTCTGCTGTGTGGGCCAGCCTTTACACCTTCCTGACCACCCAACCCCCACCACCCCCACCGCCGTCAAGCCTGAGCAGATCTTGGCTGCAGCAGAGTGACAACACAGAGATCATATCCTCAATAATTTAACTGTTGGGTTTTGAGAGAGCAGTGTGTCTAAAATATGATCAACTGAAATAACCAGTCCTACTGGGTCACAGATCTAAGAAAACCAGGCCACAGTACTAATATATCACAAAATGTACTGGGGCATAACACGCAGCTGCTGCTCTGAAGTTCTGGGGCCTTTTTAAAAAATATTTCATGTCAGGTTGACTTTTTTTTTTAACCGAGGTGAATGGTTTTGTTTTGTAGCATCAACATCACCCTCCTGATTTATTGATCTGCAGCATTTATTCCTGGGGTTAAACACGGGACTCCTGATGATTTCTCTGTTTTCCGACCATGAAGTTCTGCTATATATCGTTTAGAGTATCATGATTTACAGTATCGTGATCCAGTTCCTTTTTCCACGGAGCACGAGAAGTGGTGCCTGAGAATGTGACTTTATAAAAAGTTTATTTGAAAGTTTGAAATCAAAACACCAGAGTCTCATGAGCAAACTGTATATCACATAAAACAAAAAAGCGTGATTTAAAATATCACAAAACCGACCAGACGTTGGGGTAAAGCTGGAGATGTCATCTCAGCTCACGACCGCAGAACTTCACCATTCAACAGATGAACAAAACACATTTTTGACTTACCATGCAACACCAAGGCATTACTGTGCTCCACATTGTTATGATACATTGGACAGTGAAAGTATATGGTCTGCTATTTTAAAATCATTTACATAATCACTTTAATTGTAAAAAAAAAAACACATTCGGCTGGTTTTGCTCAGCTGTGGTTGAAACTCTGTTGTGTTTACAGTTTAACCAGCTCCACACAATACTGAGTTCACCTCACCATTCAGACAAGTTCTTATCTTAAACCTGTTGCATCTAGTTCATACTGTATCTCAGTCTACAGTAGGCCTTACTTTGCAATGAGATATCTGTAAATTGGTTGCAGAACTCTGTGGTTGGGCCCATGTAATGTTTTTCCCTCTTTGCCCCTCAGCTGAAGAGATTGAGAGTGACAGTTGGGCGGGGTCGAACTGGCATTGTCTTTCTCTGCCATCCTCTGCTGGACGGTCCGCAGCAGGTGCTGCTGTTCCGTTGAATGCAGGTCACACAGTGGTGTTGTTTTGGAAAAGGGCTGCTTTTGGTCCAGGTGGCAGTTGTTGCAGAGAACGTTATGGCTTTGTGTTTCTTCCAAGAGTTACTGCATCAGCTGCCCCTTTTGCCTCCCTAACTGCGACCCCCTACCCCGACCTAATGGCCCTGCTTCTCCTAGAGCTGGAAGTGTATATGAGCATGTGTGTGTTGGCCCGAGCTCTGGCTGTGTTTGCAGGCCCAGGCCAATCAGACTGGCTAGCACAGATGTGACAGGCTTAGAGGAATGCTAGGAATGCGGAGGCGCTGGAGCGGCTGTTCCATCCTTGGCCCGGGCAGAAGGGGAGGGCTACCTCAGTATCGGCAGACAGTTCAGCTCCGCTCTGCTGGCCTACGCCGGGCGGACTGGTTGAGAGTACGGCAAGTGCTGCAAGCCTGCTGGAGATGGCCTGCATACTTTTATGGTAATTGCACTAACCAGGGCCTTTTGAGGCCAAATGCTAAAAAGTGTGTGAAAAAGCAGACTTGTTTCTCCTGTCATTATGTGTCAGGATACCCTGAAAGCTGTTAAGCTGTAGACTTCCTAGACACACAGTCTATTGTGTGTTCTGTGTGTGTTTAAGAAAGCACATCTTGACCACTTTTTGTTGGTGAAAATTTCTGTCAGCAACTTTAGACGAGTTTAGGTCATTATTCATAATGACACAGCGGTTCAACCTCTCCCTTTGGCCAATTTTCAGCCACAGAAAACTCGGTAAGCGTGACTTGGCAACAAAAAGAA